AACTAAGTAGTGTAAAGTATTGACATGGGATTTTAACCGAAGCGCCACCACTTAGACTAACAAAGAGTCCCAAATTCAGGAAAGACATCTTCTTACAGGTAAGCCCTATTAAAAACATTGTATCACTGGCTAACGGATATTTTGAAAGTTGTATTCAGAGAAAAATTTTACCATCTCGACAAACACAAGTGCTTAGTTAGAATAAAAAGTCAACTGAACTATCTAATAACTTATGATAAATTTGAGCTGGCTTTATGCATCGTGTTAAAAATTATGTAAAATAAGCCAGTCTCTAAAACTTAACTGTTTCTTCTTGGCTATGTAGTCTTACAGGAAGGTGGGGCGTTATTACTAACAGGTCTAGATGTTTATAACGTTTTCATGTCAAGTTTCATAGTTTAAATGTGAGTCTCAGTCCCTTGATAGACAACGGTTCATTAACAGAGCATCACCTCAGAATCTGGTCACTTGTGCATCAAGTTATCTGTTTTGATAAATTTGTTTATCTTGATAATACTACGATAACCCAGTTCTCAAGATCTGATTTACAGCTTCACCTGTTTGCAATCTAATAACAATGGAATTGTAAAGGTAGTGGATTATCCATAAAATAGATCATACACACCTTTCATCCCCTTAGTCACAGTTAGTGCCTTGGAACAACTGGACATCTCCATAACAAATGAATACCATTGAAGTATAGGTAAGCTATACTTCACTATTACGTCCAAATTTTGCTCCTTCCGTTATCGAAGTACAGTACGTCGATCTATCTGCAATTCACGAACCCAAATTAACAACAAAACCAACTCCAAAGTAGGTACCAAAGTTTATTTGTAATTCACCAATAATCGACCAAAATGTCGTTCGTCAATTTACAAATAGACGACCAATGTCGTTCTTCAATTTTATAGGTTCCTGGAGCAAAAACTCCAAATGACCAACCAAGACAAACGGAATTCAAAATGGCCGAAAATAATAAATCAAACAAGTTCATAAGTTAAGTAAAACAAATACACCCAAAAAACACAGTGAAATTAATGATATTTATATATAGGTTTTGAACATCCAAATGTCTTCATTTCTCCCGTAACACTTCACAACCTGTTTGAACTCACCTTTACTGAGATACTCACTATACACAGTGATGTACGTTGACCAACTCACTAGCTGTTTGTAAAATCAATGAAATTAGAGTGTTGAAACACTGTATAAGTTTCTAGCATGGTAATCAATGTTATGAACTATAAAAACACCACTTTATTCATCTAATACAACATATGATCCGTCAATTTAGTGACTGTCTTAGTTACCAGATTTCTGAGAAATTACGCCACTGCGAGTGACGTAGCTGAACCTGAAATGTCGCGGATATTCAGTTTGACAACACCTTTGTCCTTGCTAACTTCCCCGTTGAGAATATTAAAACTCAGTCAAACCAGATTTGAAAAAAGGAAGTTGCAGGTGTTTTTGCTAGGTAGCTGGTATGATATAAGCTAGTTAGGTGTTGCGGGGATGAGTAGCATAAATTACTCAATAGTGATCTGATTAGGATAAAAGACTTTTGGTCTTCAGCTGTGTGTCCACTAAGACTAATAAATTTTGCACATATGTCTGAGACTTACGGGGGGTATTTACTCTGGGGATTTCCTTACATCTACAATCCCTAACCTTGACTGATCCCACTGCTTATTTATAACGATTTCAATGAATACCTCAATAACAGGTAAATTCTACGGTGATACCTTAGATGTCCGTCGCAAATTTTTAAAACAAGCGCTTAGCAACCTCGTATCTTCTGTGTGCTTATTGATCTAGTTAGCAGGGGCTGGGACAACGGATTAGAATAGCCTACCGTTTCACTAAGCGATTGCTCTTCGTTCCGTGTACAGTGAACTCGTAATAGTTTCAAGCACATCAGTTTTTATCTTTCCCGGTTTGTGATGTGCTTGAGATATAATGTTTAGGATAGCATCCTGGATGATGTCACCAGTGATTATCTATTGCACACCTTCGCTATTCCCGTAGCCTTCAAGCGTTCAGAAGATTCTCCCTCAGGCACTCGTAGTTTGCCCTAATGCAGATAAGGTAAGGCTTGTTTTCGTCCCGCCTGAGTGTCCCCTTTATGACCACATTAAACCTGGCTGCACCTTTGTCACTGTTTTCTACTGGTGAATGGACATGGCCATACTCGACCGGGAGCTGATTATTTGTCAACAAATAATCCAAGTTTGAGGATTACCCATCCTTAGTTCATCTAGCGGAACTGCATAAGTGCTCGATCAGTGTGGAGATTTTAATGGCCCCATCAATTCGCCTGTGAAACCGACGTGTGGGAGTTGTGCCCCATTAGCTGAGATTTAGAGATTGGGTTTTGAAATCTCAAGCTAAGAGTACTTGAGTAGACCCAAGAAACGTCATTTACATTGTCGCCTCAGTCAGTTTATCTTTCTGGGCCTTAGTAATTTAGGGAGGCCTTCAGTCAAGTATTTTATTCCATTCGTGTGGGAACAACACCAACATGATTCTGTTACCTCTGTTCGTTGGGCGTCGTGTAGTATCCCTGATTTGAATGGCTGTTTATTTATATGGCCACTCCGCCTCCTGTTTGTTGTACCCCATCGCTTTGGAAGAGTCACATGCCTGGCAAGTTCACTTCGTCGTCTGCAATGTTAAAGGATAACCATGATACATTAAGGATTATAATCATCAGATCCATCTGAGAGCACATATTCCTGATTTCAAACAGATTACTCCTTAGCCCTCTTATGTTGCTGTAGAGGCACTTAGTGGTTTGTCTCATCACCTGGTGAACCTCTACAGCAACAGCCAATGTCGGATCCTCAAACAAGTTGTTCAAACCAAGTTGGTCAGTTCTGTGGGAACTGGCGTCTGGAAGTATTTGCCTGTGTAGTGCCATTATCTTCGTTTCTTGTGCCGTGGGTCGAGGTTAACTGTCATTAGTGTGCACTGATTTTGTTGTTGTTGTCGTCTCACAGATGTATATTGGCTCTTGCAACATCGAATGTGATTGGATAGATCGCTCTCTATCCTGTACTATGTCTGAAGCGTCTCAACTAGGTCTTCCCGATTCCTGAATTTCATAGCCATCAGACATGAGGATTTAAGAGTCTTTCAGTGTGATGGACCAGGCAGCAGGAAAATACTGATTGCTATGGTGACGTGAAGGCTCATGCCATGTAACAGCCATCGCCACTGTTGCAAGTCATGTGTGTGAGCTTCATCCATGCTACCGCTAGCTAGTTCGGGCATGCCGTGAACTGCCATGCTGGCCTGGTCTTGGGTGCTTAGTAATGTCCTGGCAGCTGCTCAAAAAGACCACAGTTTGTCGTGACTGACTTGAATCGAGATGGACAGCCTAACTGAGGGTCTCTGCGATGTTAAGAGGATTTCTTCAGCAACCTGTGCCGAGTCTAAGGTTATCCTCAACAGAGGATTTTATCGATAGCGATATTCTCACTCTTGGCATAATTTTACCGGGATACAACTCATTCCAATGACTGCACAGTACTTGTCCTCCTGTTCTTTATCATAGGCAGCTCTACTTTTCAGCACGCTGCCCTCTGAGAATGGTACACCAAACAAAATTAGTGATTTTTTTCTAAGAACCCTGCCCGTGATTTGTAGCGTTTTGGGATCTGTAATGTTACCGTCTCCCTTCTTTAAATTCACCAACTGTTATATTCTGTTAACAGATACTGGGGATTTTGGACTAACTAGCATTTTAATCGATGAATCGCTTAGGGTTGCTGCTACTTTTGTCGCTTGTTTGGTCGGTATTTTGCCTGATGAATTCGGTTTACTTGGGGGATTCGTGGGTTCATTTTGGGTGCAGCCTGTAGATTTTCTGGTACAAAATTATTGTCTCAATGATTCTACACTGTGCACAAATATAACAGAGCCACGGATATGAGTGACTCAACATAAATCCATAATAATGTCTAGGTACTGCAGTGTCACAACAACAATGAACCAATGCACTGCAGAGTTGCTAGTTTTATTGGCAGCGAGCAATCGATACAATTATCGTTATGTGATTTCTGAACGGTGGGCTGCGTCTACTGAGCCTTAGGATGCCTTCTTCGCCTATTCTTATTTTGCATACTGGTCTTACTTGGAGTCGGAGACTGAGGAGTGTTGTCTCATTTTCTGTGTTGGAGGCCCAGAAGAAGTGTTTGGGTCGAGTGATCCGAATTTCGAACATTGCTCCGAGATACGCTATTGAGTGACGTTTTGATTCTTTCACAACTCTGTAGTTAGAGACCAGTAACTCGTTCAGAAGTCCTGTGTTGCGAGTGAATGAATGTGTGTAGGCTGCCGAAGCAACTAGGAAAAGAGCAGTTGATTGAGACAGCTAGACCTACCGCACAGTGATTCTGACTTGGAATGGTTCTGTTTGTCCGAATCGTTACTCTGACTGTCTACTAGTGAATGGGGACAAATTTTATATCTTCGGTAATGAATAAATATCCCAATTTGGCGTCGAAAACTGAATTGTTTCCTGTAAATGCTGGGAGGTCGACGAGGAGACGAATAACCCAATGGACTAGGCGAATGTGAGGAAATTAGTGGTACTGTTTACCTACATACAGCAAATTACTCCAATTTTCCAGATTGGTAAGAAAACAGCTGGCCTGGATTCATAAGTCAGGGATTATCTACAATAGTATGCCCAATGGAATAAAATTTACTACTGTATGTTTCTACATATTCATCGCAGTGAAGTAACCATTATTATAATAAGTAACTCGTCAATGCTGCAGAGCGACTTCGAAGTCAGCAGTACAGGATAATATTTTATAAAATCTTAACCGATTGATATATAAATATATATATGATGAGTCGTGTAAAATGAACGGTTGTCGTCACAATTATCTACCTAGATAACTCAATTAGCGACCATTTGAACATAATTTGGTCGATTACATGTATCTAACACCCACACAAATGCTTAAAAAATCAACCAATAGAATTGCGACTAGAGATCTGGCGCAATTTTCAACCACTAACCACCTGTAGGATTCCCAGGGTGCTGGATTGTTGGACGTGAGTTGTTCTGTACGACCTCAAGCTTTATATCAAACTTGTCTTTTTCTGTGTACTAGGTTGTAAAATTGTCACTTACGACACGTTCGCTTACTGAAATTAATGAAGGTAACTATTAAACTGAATTCTGATACCGCAATTCCCTAACTCTAAAAAAATGGTTGATCGATTTTAAGTAGATGCTTTCAAAACCCCAAAAATTCCTCCTAATTTGGAGTATTTCCTCAAACCATCAACTGATAATGGGGAAAGCTATTAAACTGCATTGAGAAAACCCCAACATTTCTTATTGTCTCGGGGTAAACGTCCATGTATCCGTGAGACTTTGCATATGCATTGATCAATCCAATATATAAACTTTTTACCTTCTACTTACAGTTAATTCAGAGGACTTAACGCAGTTACAAAACAATTCTACGTTAATAAATCCATTCACTGACGTAACTTGCGCAAGCATCCTTTCGGAAAGTAATTAGATAATTCTTAGCGAACAGTAACATATGAACACTTTCAATGTAAAACCTTTTTAATCATTGTAGTTCTTAAAAGGCATATGTCACAAATGATATTGTAGATTAAAGTAAACGAGGAATTCATGTGTATTTTTATGGAATAATTTATCAGTATAATCATTTGATTTGCTATTCAGTTTTGTTAGTATTCTCTTACAACTGTCAAAATTGTTTCACATAAAGGGATCAGATATCTCTTTTATGAATGTAGTATCATAAATGTTTAATGTTAATCGTAGTCAAACAACTACTCAACGTAATAACTACATGAACGTTCAAGTGTGTGCTTTTGTAGCTTACACCGACGTGAAATATAAAAAAGGTTAACGTAAATATCTTTGCTGAATAAGAATACTTACATTTTCGTCTGTGATTGTTTGTGAAACCAGCTGATAAACAAAAATATACAGTAAATAATCATTTGAAGATGAATGTTTAACTAACACAGATATTCCATAATACTTTAAAAATCTAAATTTGTATATTAATCGTTTGCCATCCGCTCTTATTTACTTTATCCCTTGAGTCATACGAGAAGGCCTGTGATGCAACATCTATCGCTTGTGTATAATTTCCTTTTCCCGACAGGTTGAACTTTAAAATCTTGGATAAGGAACATTTAACGAAGACTGTTCATTGTTATATTGACTTCGAATTTTTTTGTAGAACTTGTAGCAGCTACTTATACCCGATTCACTTTAAGTCTTATGTAACGTGTAAGTGACATTTAGTTCAGGCATTAATATGTATGCCAAATTATCTTTCATGGACTTAAAAAGATCATCACAACTGATTTCCAATAATTTTGTAGTCCCTACTTGTCACTGAATCTGGATTCTTGCGATACAGTTTCAGGAGTGTATAATTCTTTTTGTGTTCTCAATAAAAATACCCAAGAAAAAAAACTTGGAGTTTCAACTGTTCCTGTCTGTCACGATGGTGAATGGGCGTTTAATAAAAGCGTTCATTTTATACCTTATTAGATTGGCTAATAATTTATCCAAAAGAACTGTATATGAGAAGTTACAACTGTGATCTATTAGTATAAAACTTAGTACGCCTTTAGCTTACACGTTCGCAACAGCCTTCAAGATGAAATCGGTGGCTAAACTCTCCGTTTTTGAAGAACTACTTTATGAACATATAATAAATGCATACTTAGCCATACTTGAAAAGTTTCCAGTCAGGATGTTGACAACTGGAACACATCGAACCTGTATTTCGGCCGCCTCTAACACTTCAGATGTGCACAAATAGTCATTCCACTTTCGTTTTACAGCCCTAAAATTTTTTCATTTGCATCAAATCACGCCTTAGACTTTTCCATTTGACATGGAAGTGTCATTTTGGTTGATGGTTCTGTAGCCCAGTACTCCAGTAAGTACGATTTTCAATTCCTCGGTTCTTTAGTAATCGACTGGAAAAAATTCATTTTATGTGGTAACAATTTACCACACAATGAAAACTTGGACTGATGTACATACGTACGAAGTTCTATGTTGTTGACTGACCGACTGACTCTTTATAGTTGACCGACGGTAAGGTTTTGATTGATGCTATAAAATAATCCAGTATCGTTAAAAAGGTTTACAATTTTAATGAACTTATGGGGTCTTCTGTCATGATGCTAAGGCTCTCAGCAATATGTAGAGCTAATGCATTATATTGTTCTACATGGTTCAGAAGTTGAGAAGTGATGTCACTGTATCTAAAAATGTATGTAAAATAGAGATAACAACCTCGTGATATTGTGTTGGGATTGAGATACACTTAAAAAGTATATCTGTTATAGTAATCCACATACAGTCGTGGCTAACCCCTGAAAATTTAAATAAACTTATTGTGCTAGAAGCGAATGGGTTGGTAAAGTAATCTGAATAGTTAGTGTATGGTCTAAACTTAGTCCCACCACTTTCTGTAATTTGCGTGATGAAACCGGGCTTTTCATTCGCGATTATAATATTATTAGGTCTGTCAGTACTGAACTTAGAATCTCTGCTAGTAATTACTTCCTCAGAGAAATCTAAAGTCACGATTGACTCAGTAACACTAGGTAGTATGTCTTCATTAAGTAAAGTGTTAACGTAAGTTTCTTCCGTGTAAGGCTGTGCAGCTTTCTTAGCTGCTGAAAAACCACAGTGTATGGGACGCCTTATTTTCCACGTAAATAACCCGAAAGGAAAAGCTGAGAAACACATTCAGCAACCGTGTTCAGTGAAATCGTTAGCAGTTTTCGTTAAACTGTTTATATTGGGGATTAATTGTTAACTAACAGCTTAAAATGCTAATGTTAGGCATCGGGTACTTCACAAAAGTGGAAAATTTGTTGATAATTTTGTAAATGTCTACTGACTGAAATAGTTAGAACATGTGTTACGTAGGCCCAACCACTGTCTACCGTGAATAGTGATGCTTACTTGTGAAAAATTAAGTTACAAGGAAACTAGAGGCAGCGAAACAAAACATGAAATGAGTTCATGAAGTCACAGACTGTTGATTTGAGGTATGTAGACATGATACAGATTATCTGGTTGGGGTCCATGTGGTAAAGGCGATAAGTAGTACCTGGAGACTTTAAGTTACATAGCTCAGAACTACTCATAATGACACACATACATCCAATCTTTAGCTTCATCTTGATCTCAATTCAGTCTGCCTCAGATCCTAATCTTGATGCCTAATCTTTCTCTTCATCATCGCTACATGATTCCGATCTTTATTTTCATCTTCTGTGTCTAGTAAAATAACACCCTTACATAATAATAATAACGATAAT